TCCCTTCCCGAGCCCCCTTCGTTTCGTTAGGGTGCACAGAACCAAGCAAGGCCCGTTTCTATGTTTCTGCGTTGCTGCTGCTGCGGCGGCGGCGGCAGGCATGTGTTTCTTTCTTTCTGTTCTTCTGCAAGGGAACTAACTAACTAACTGCGTGGGTCTTCATCACCCTCCTATTTCCTCTTTCTTCCTCCCTCCCTCTCCTGGCACACCGCCGCTTCTTCTAGCCGCAACCAGCACCCCTCCCCCTCTACCACGGCACTTGGATGGATGTGCGCAGAGGCTCTTTCCATCCCTACACATCCATCCGTCCGTCCATCCAACTCAGGGTTTCTCCCATTTCGAGTGTCACTGGGTGCAGCAAAATTGGTTCACATGTTATCGGAGGAGACGAGAGAACTTTGCAGAGAATTCTCAACTTTTGGCCAAGGAGATATATATATATATATATATATATATATATACATATAGCACATGAGATTTGCAGCAGCGTTGATTTCCTTGGAGTGCCGACAGCAGGGTGTTTTTCTCTTCCTCCATGTGTTTCTCTGTCGACAGAAGTCACCAACTTCTGAAACGTTCTGCCTATGCTTGTATTAAATTGCAGGAGTGACATTGTTTTAGCAACGAAAGCACTTAATTGCTCAATGTGCACCCTTCATGTTTTAGGCACATATAGTTGGATTTATTTTTTTATTTTTATTTTTTTTATGCTTGATGAGGTTGATAATATTCCCCCCTCTTTTAATGATGAGTTCCATAAGAAACTTTAATCACATGTTGAAGAAGACCAAGATGTGTCAATCTATATTTTTCACCTATTTTGATTTTTGTTTGTTTTGAAGGTTGTTGATAGGATCCCCAATCATTGATAGTATTCCATACTTGGGCAAAAAAGATGACTCCGATACTTGATTTAGTATTGAGGTCTCCCTAATTTCTTTTAAACAAAACATTTATAATAATATTATGAGTCATTTCTATTGCTAATAATATGACTAAAAAATGGTATTCTCTTCTTAGGTTGTGATACCAAATGCATTGTATCTTGCCACATGTTTGAAAATAAATGTGTTATTGTTGAGGGTCTTTATTTCTATTACATTGTATTATAGGCTTTGACAATTATAATTTCTCATTTGATAAAGCATCAAAGGATAATTCTTGAGTTGATGTGTTGGTTTTTGATTTTTGATTTTTTTACTTTCACAAATATAAATAAACCATAGTAAAAGATAGAAGATAGGATGTATTTGAATATTCTATTTTTTATAGTAAGTAATTGCTTATTTTTTCAACTTAGTTTCGATGGATGTCTTTGATGAAAAGTTTTAATCTTCTTTACTATATTTGCAAGTTTTTTGATTAGCTCTCATATGCATTCACTTATATCATATTTGTGCCAATGAATTTGATATTTTAATGCAAGTTTGTGTTGCCTTGAATCTTAGATTTTTTCCACCTTAAATTCTTAATTAGTATTTATATCTATAAAAAGAAGTATAATTTGTCTTCTCTTGGAATATTTCACTATCTTATATGATTAAAAGAGAGACATTTTTTTGTTGTTTGTGTTGTGTACTTTCACCTTGCATTGTGGTTTGGATATAATAGTCTTTGCTACTACTAATTTTTCTAATAGAAATGAAAGACTTATATTGTTTATAATAAGTAAGAACATGCCATTTATATTTAGTTTTGATTTCTTATTTAATCTACTATATAATCATTGTTGAATTTTACTTGACATACTTATTCTTTTTATATTAAATTGGCTTATTATATTTCTTATAGATTCCATGTATGAGTCCTTAAGTTTCATTTTATTTTTTATTTTTTATTTTTTTATATATATTTTGTTTACACAAATGAATAAGATATTCCAACTTATGTTATTATTGCCTCGGATATAAGTTTTCTTCTATCTTAAATTCTTTATAATTACCCATTTCGATAAAAGGCTGTAGTATTTGTCTTCATCCTAGGATATTCATTGTCTTATATGACTCTGTAAGAAACACGTGAAATATGAAATGGATTTTTATAGACTCCTATAGATATAAATTATAAGCAATAATATTGACTTATTTACAATTAAGAAATGGTCCAAGTCTTTGATAATTCAACTTGTCATAAGCACAAATAGTTTTAATAGTATTACAAAGTAACCATATCTTATCACCAACATGGAAATGAGGTTATTCCTTGTAATAAGCATCCGCATTGTTCTTGTGTTATTTTTGAGCCTTTTTTAATCATGTCTTTGTTGATATATGAAATTTAAATAAATGATTTGTCAAATTTTTGCTATAGGATTATCAACTTTTGAAAAGTCAAAAGCACTAAGTTGTGGATAATAATGTAATTAGCAAAAAATAGTGTTTGTTGCAAAGAAGAATATATCATGTTATTATAAGCTAACTCTATCAATGGGAAAAGAATTGTTCAATCATCTTGTTAGTAGTTGATGATACACTTGAAATACTGCTTCAAAACTTGATTTATATGCTTTGTTTTTTTATCAATTTGAAGATAGATAACCAAAGATAATTTTATGTCTACCTTTAGAGTCTTAAAAAGAATTTTCTAAAATCTTGATATGAATTGAATTCTTCTATCCAATGTTATATCTCTAAGCAATCCATGATACTAATAGATGTTGTCAAAGAAAAACTTGGTTGTTTCTTTACTTGCAACAGATTTTGTACATGGTACAAAATGTATCATCTTGCTGAAATGATCTACTATCATGAATATAGAATCATACAAACTTAAGATTAAAAGATAAATCATAAAATCCATTCAAAAAAAAGACCATAGTTCTTCTAGAATGGATTATGGCTGAAAAAGTCCATAAGGTAGATGATGAGGAGTTTTTGATTTTCAACAAATATCACAAGATTGTACAAAATTTTTGACCCCCTTTCATATTTGAGGCCACAAAAAATCATTAGATATTAGTTTCTAAGTCTTATTCTATAAAAAATATTATACTATTAAAAAGTCATAATAAGGTTGAAGAACATGTAATTGAGCTTCACCTTCTAGAATATATAAGTGTACTTTAAAATATAATAGATTTTTTTTGAATTCAAACTTGAAAGTATCATGAGACTTTAAAAGATTTTTCTTAATATCACAAATAAGAAGATCAAAAGACATACTTAACTAGACTTGCTTAATAAAAGTTGAATCAATAATTAGTATTGATTTCATTGCTCAAAGATGAAGATGCTCTAACTTTAAAAAAATTATTTGTTGTTAATTTACTTTCTTAGGTATAAAATAAGATTATCTTGAAACTACATCTAAAAAATATTAATATTTTTTTGGTCAATAAGTGATTTAGAATTTGAATCTTAACAAGGACATGCTCCAATGGGCTTGGTGATGATTCAAAACAAGTAGTGACATAAAATAATCAAGTTTCATATGATTTGTATATATGATGACTAAATTAGGAGTGCCTTGTAGATAATGGCACTATTCTTGAAACAAATCCATAATTGCAAGAAGTTCTTTGTTATAGATCTTATAGTTGATCTTAGTTACCAAAATCTTTTTAAAATGAAAAGCTACTAGATAAAATTTATTATTAATTTCTATTTATGATAATACAACATCTAAAGAAAATTTTGATGTGTATGTTTTCATAAAAAAATAGCTTAAAAAAATTGACATAATACAAGATTGGTACACAAACAAAGGTTATTTTTAAAGCTTCAAATGCTGCTTTTGCTTCTTAATTCCATTGAAATTTGTCTTTATAAGTCAAATATATAAGTAGAATTGCAACTTTAGAGAAGTCCTTAATAAAGATCCAATAGTAGTTGGAAAATCCAAAAGTAGTAGATACTTATTTTTGATGGTGATCTTGTTAAGTCCTAAATAATCAATATACATCTGTAATGATTTTTTTTTTTTTTTTTTTTTTTTTTTTTTTTTTTTTCAAAAATAAAATTGAAGCACTTATTAGAGATTTAGAATGATATATGAAATTCTTTTCTAAATTTTCTTTAAATTATTCTTTGCGTTCAGCCAACTCATTTTGTGATAAATTATAGATTAGTCTAAATAGTAGTTAAATTCCTTCTTAAAGGTTAGTTGAGCAGTTACAGGGACGATGATTCAAAAGAGTATCTACATTCTTCTTTTCAAATACATCTTAAAAATCTTAATATTGGCTAAAAATGCCATTTGAAGTCTATTCATCATTAAAAAAAATGTTCCATAAATGATACAAGACAATCTTTTTTTTCTAGCATACAATAAAGCTTTTATGCCTACAAATATAAGTTTGGTTGTATTAATCTTATATCTTTCTACTTACTTAACTACACCCTTAATTATACTTTTAGAAAATTCAAGACTATAAAAAATACAATCTATTTGAATATTATACTTTTTTAACTACAATAAATCTAAAATAATTAAATTAGGAGGAAAAATAATAATATTAAATATCATAAAGCTATTATGACTATTAATTATTACTTTTAAAAGAAGTTTTTTTATAAATAATAACTTTAGAGGACAATGGATGACCATCTATGACTTCTATATGAACAAATTTTGTTTTCTTTACTAAAGGTATGTTATGTCTTTTAACAAATTCTTTATCTAAAAAATAAACTAAGGCTATTGAATCTAACAAGGCAGAGGCTTTGTAATGTTTAGGTCCTAAACTAATATCTATTGTAAAACAAAGAGAGAATTTTGAGGAGAAAATAAGACCTTTATTAGGTGTTCTATAAGGTTTTAGCCACATGGTTCATATTATAGCTGAATAAACTTATTTTTTGACATATTATCTTCTTTGACAGTCACACTTCTTGTTTTATAATTGTGTTGCTTCTTTGGATAATATTGAGCAATGTACTTTGATTCTCTACA